ACTTGCCCATTGTGGTGTTTCAGTGCTCCCTCCAAGCTGTGGAGCCCTGTGAGCAAAGATTCTACTTTGTGAGCTCCTGGCATGAAAGCTGTGAGCGAGCGATTTGGCTATTACTGCATAAATGAGTTTGCTCTGGAGCCATCCTTCCTGAGCTAAGACAAAAATGTGTGAGCCGGAGGCTAAAAAACTGTGAGCTAGCCCACACTAACTCAGCTTAGAGGGAACTTTGAGTGGCCACTTTTTGTTGACTCTGCTTTCGGTGTTGCATGCTTGAAATAGCTGACCTGGGTAGGAAGGATGACTGTTGTGGGCCTCTGAAAACTGCCCCCCCCGCCCAATTAACTTGTGAAAGCCACTGCCACAAGACGTGGGTGGGAAGTTTAGGGGGGGGAACCCCTAGAGATGAAATATATTGTGAACTTAATCAAGCTTGCATTCAGGGATACTGAACCTCTTAATATGAAATGCTGTTGAGAGAATGGGGGAGGGCAGACAGCTCTTTGAGCTTCCAGAGGCCTCTGGAAGGCTGCAGTTGGGAACAGAATGCTAGCTGCTAGCTAAGAACCTTGAATCTGGTCCAGAGAGGCCATACATATTGATGCTCTCTAGTGTGTGCCTAAAATTAAAAACAACAACATACAAACCTGACTTACCCAAACTTTCCAAGGAGATGCAAGGTTCACATTAGTGTTTGTCAGTCATCGTCATGATTTAATTTTATGGATACTTTGGACATATAGAGAGGATGAACGAAAGGAGACGAAACAAGTATACAAGACGAGTGTGGATGGGAGAGTTGGAAGGGGTCGACCTCAGCGAACGTACCTCAATCAGACTGAGGACATTTTTAGCAAAGGCCAATTTAGGAGTACCCTAATTAAGTTAATAACAATGTACCTACCTATATAGTTTAAGTTTTAAAAAATTGGCTCTCAAAATAAATTTCAATCATTGTACTGTTGATATTTGGCTCTCTTGACCAATGTTCCCTCTAAGCTGTGGAGTCTTGTGAGCAAAAATCCTACTTTGTGAGCTATGGGCATTAAAGTTGTGAGTGAGCCATTAGGTTGCTGCATAAATTAGTTTGCTTTGAGGCCATCCTTCCTGAGCTAAGGCAAAAATCTGTGAGCCGGAGGCTAAAAAACTGTGAGCTAGCTCACACCAACTCAGCTTAGAGGGAACACTGCTCTTGACTAATGAGTTTGCCCACCACTGCTCTAGGCTGATCCTGCATTGAGCAGGGGGTTGGACTAGATGGCCTGTATGGCCCCTTCCAACTCTGTGACTCTATGAATCTATGACTCAAACGTCGTTCTACTAGGAATCTCTGCCAGGGTGGTGGAAGGTAACAATTAGGATAGTCTGCCCCAGGAGGATGGATCCAGTAGGTTCCTGATCCTGATATCTCTTGGGGATTTTCCAGTCAGCAAGGCTGGAACAGGAAAATGAGCTGGACTGTGGACACGATCACCCCTGAGCACCATACCTCCTTCCATGGAGTCTGGAACACCCCCCTAGTTTACTGAGGAGCTTCAGATGATGAAACTGTTGAGAAGACTATTAGAAAAACTCAATGTGACTAGAGCTGAAAGCACATTACCAGTGCCTACTGTGTGGCAGTGATGTGAACCCACTTTCCACCACCAGCTGCATCTACACAATGCCATTTGATAAGAGCTTTACCAGGTTGCGAAGGGGATTTTCCCTCAAGCGGCAGAGGACGGGGATCTGCAAAACAAACAAGGCTGCTGTGCTGCCTTTGCAATGCCATTTTGCAGATAAAATTACATTCACCATGTCTTAAGACACCCCAGTACGACTGGCTCAATCTCAGCATGTTACTGGGGTGCAGTCTGGTCTAAGTTGTATGAAGTTGGTGAAGCCTAATGGAGTGGACAGGGTCCTTTGAAGTGCGTAATCCACCAGGTCCAGTCTTGCCCCTTATGGGTCAATAGTATCAGGCTAGCCTTGCTCTTACTTAACCAATTTCTGAAGAAGCTGCTAGGGGACTGCTGCTCAGACCTTGTTGCATTTATGTGGCGTCTCAAAGGGTTCCATCTTATCCCTTATGCTACTTAACGTCTACATGAAACTGCTGGTACAGGCCACCTGGGGAGAGGTGGCACCAATATGCAAAATACACCGTTTCTGAAGAAGCTGCTAGGGGACTGCTGCTCAGACCTTGTTGCATTTATGTGGCGTCTCAAAGGGTTCCATCTTACCCTTATGCTACTTAACGTCTACATGAAACTGCTGGTACAGGCCACCTGGGGAGAGGCGGCACCCATACGCAGAATACACCCAGTTCTGTGTCTGCTGAATAATTAAGCCAGCTGAGTCTGTAGGTGCCTAGAGAAGGCAAGGGGATGGATGAAGGCCAAAAAAACGAAGCTCAATCCAGTCAATGGAGACCACAGAGTCAGCCTGTCCTGGAAGGGGCTGTATTCCACCTGAACGAGTAGGTTTGTAGCTTGGAGGTGCTACTGGGCCTCTAACCATGGGTGGGATCACCTTCTATGGCACATGGTGCCTTTTATCAGCTCTGGCTAGTTCACCAGCTACAGCCATTCTTCAGAAAGCATGATCTGGCCACTGAGCATATTCAGTTGATTTCTGTAACGCACAGCACATGGGGACTGCCTTTGAATGGTTCAGAAATGTCAGCTGGTCCAAAACTCATAGGCCAGGTTACTGCCAGGGACTGGTACCTGGGATCATATCATCCCTGTACTGAAATAGCTGCACTGGTTACCTGTTTCCATTCACAATTTCAAAGAGATGGTTCTTACCTTCAAGGGCCTAAATGATGGGTGCAGGATACATGAAGGACCATCTCCCCCTGTACTACGCAACCAGCCCGTTAAGACCTGCCTTCCAAGGCCTGAGCTCTGTTGTGACCCAGCCTTCAGAGGTGAGGCAGGTGGCAATTAGACATGACTTTTTTGGGGGAGGAGGGGGGTGGCACCTCACTTTTGGGACATACGCACCTAGCACCTACTTCACCCTTTTAGGCACCCGGCTATAACACTTCCCCCCCCCCCCCCCCGGATTTTTTTTTTCTGAGCTTTGCTTTCCAATGGTCTGCTTCCATTTTATGGACAGTTTTGATGCTACTTATATCAAACTAGAAATAAGGCCCGTAAGGTTCCATATGCAACTGACATTCCAACTGCCTTGCGGGGAGGGGGGTGAGTTTGAGGTGTGGAATGCAGTGAAGTCCAATCAGCTTCCATATGCAAAAGACCTTGAAGGTTCCATATGCAACTGACATTCCAACTGCCTTGCGGGGAGGGGGGTGAGTTTGAGGTGTGGAATGCAGTGAAGTCCAATCAGCTTCCATATGCAAAAGACCTTGAAGGTTCCATATGCAACTGACATTCCAACTGCCTTGCGGGGAGGGGGGTGAGTTTGAGGTGTGGAATGCAGTGAAGTCCAATCAGCTTCCATATGCAAAAGACCTTGAAGGTTCCATATGCAACTGACATTCCAACTGCCTTGCGGGGAGGGGGGTGAGTTTGAGGTGTGGAATGCAGTGAAGTCCAATCAGCTTCCATATGCAAAAGACCTTGAAGGTTCCATATGCAACTGACATTCCAACTGCCTTGCGGGGAGGGGGGTGAGTTTGAGGTGTGGAATGCAGTGAAGTCCAATCAGCTTCCATATGCAAAAGACCTTGAAGGTTCCATATGCAACTGACATTCCAACTGCCTTGCGGGGAGGGGGGTGAGTTTGAGGTGTGGAATGCAGTGAAGTCCAATCAGCTTCCATATGCAAAAGACCTTGAAGGTTCCATATGCAACTGACATTCCAACTGCCTTGCGGGGAGGGGAGGGAGTTTGAGGTGTGGAATGGAGTGAAGTCCAATCAGCTTCCATATGCAAAAGACCTTGAAACGCTGGGCGGGACTGCACAAAGCAGCCAGTCAACCCAGCCAGCGTCTTCTGACTGACAGTTCAAGCATCCATACACTAAAGGTGTGCATTTTAGAACGTTGGCACCCACTACTCTTTTATAATAAGGGAGAGATGGCTTCTTAACTAATGGGTTTATACTGAGTTTTTTAATTGTAAGCTACCTCAAAGCAGGACTTCACAGAGGCAGGATAAAAACTGTATAAATGAATAAATCATAGAGTATCTCTGCTCAGCACAGCTGGTTCCTGCAGAAACAAAGATTCATTCGCTTCACAAATCCAGTGTTGATGAAATCTGTATTAGTAGGTTGTAAGTTATCTGCCTGCATTTCCCTTCCATCCCATACAAAAAGCTAGCACCTACCACCGTGCTTGTTTAAATAGTATTACTGTTCAATTTATTCTGCAAGCGTGCTTGTTTAAATACTACTACTGTCCAATTTTGTCAGCATCTTTCTGTTATGATTTAACACAGTGGATTACATCTGGTTTTCAGAATTTCTATCCATACATGTCAAGTACAGCAATTAAATGGAAGCTTACCTGTAAACTTCAAAAGGTATACAAGTTCCCCTATAGGCTGACTAGAAAGTATGTAAAACTGCACAACCAGAAAACCTGAAGAAGCTTGAAGCATTTTAACTAAGGTTTAGTGCCGCAATGCAAGTTACATGTAATGTGAGTTAAGCAAAAGACTACCAAAACCTTGTATTAACTCAAGAGAACAGTGACAAAACATGTACAGAAAAGTCTTTATTAGCATTGTTACAGGCAATGCATCCATAACTGATCCTTGTAGTGTACAATCCCAGCCAAGGTCAAAGCAAGAATTAGCAAGATTGAAAGTCTATTGTACACATGTGCAGGAGGAGGATCTTTGAACTTTCAACAGAAAAGACTGAAATTCACTTACAAAAAATAAAGTAACACCCATTTTATGTAAAAAAGGGCCAGCTCCTATGAAGCTGACAGATCAAAATACCTTGGAGTTGGCCAATTTATCTTCACACCTTGCATATACCAGGCTTAGCATTTAAAGCTTATGAATGATATACATCCAGGTAGAGACAAAGTGGGAATAATTTTAAGTTTGATTGGTCAGTCATTACATTTAACTGCAGAAGTGCAGCAACTAAATTCAGCACAGGATGGTAGTACCAGAAAGTGGAAGTTTCCCTTTGTTAGATATAATTAATCTGAATTTAAGTGAACGAATGTGAAAACTACATCACACCCATTTAAGTAGTTGACATTAAAAACCATGCCAATTCAGAAGAGCATTCTTAAACTTCAGCCTGTTTCTAGGTGGGTAAATATTTAACCCATTAGCAAAATTAAACAGAATTATAGAAGTTATCCTTGGTGCATAGTTAAATGCCACAAGATGGATTTCACATTTAGTAAAGCAGACACTGCAAGAAGCAGTCGGCAAGGAAGAGATTGTGCTCCCTCATGTCAATCTGGTTTTTTGAAGGGGGGGGAAGAGGGAGAAACAAGGTGTCTCTGCTTCTTGCAACTGCTGTTCTTCCACACTGGTTTCATTAAGTGCAAATCATTAAATTGTTTGATAGCCGGCATGGCTACGTTTTCTGCCAATTAAATATGCAATCAACACTATGAGGACAAGTCCAGCAAGAGCTGCACCAACTATGATGGGGATCAGCATGTTGTTTTCATCCAGCTGACATTCTTCCACTGGGGGAAAAAATAAGACATTCTGTTAGACAGCTGGATTCTGCTAGCAGACAAAAGCAAAAAAGCAAGCGCCAGATGAGGCCAAAATGAGAAGATATTCACATGGGCAACCATCATTCTACTTTGCAACACCGTCATCAATTAGTGAATTGAATCAAGGCAAGTCTGGGTTTTTTTAAAATAGACAACCAGCCAAAATTGTTACAACAAAAGGCTCTATTAAGGGGAGGACTGTAGCTCTGTGGCAGAGCATCTGCTTTGCATGCAGAAGGTCCAGTTTAAAAAGAAAAAGAAAATGGGTCAAGCAGTAGCTGATGTGAATAATCTGGGAGAGAAAAACCTGGAGAGACCTATGCTCTGACTGTAACGCAGCTTTGTGTGTACTTCGAAAAGCCATTCTACTGGCCACTTGGATGGCCTCTATGCAGGCCTATTTTCTGATTCTCCCATCCCTTCCCACCCAGTGAAATCTCATATGATGCAAACAGGAGCAGAAGGATTGGACCAAATGCTTGCAGTTTTGTATGAGATGATCCCATACTGATTCTTTAGGGGCAAGAGGGCTGAGGACTGAATCAGGCCCTATATTTCCTAAGAACAAGTATTCAGGAGTCTGTCACTAAGCCTGTTTCATAGTAGCTCTTGATTCAGAAGTGTGGATGCTCTATTGAGAATATTTAGCATTGATCAAAAGCTCTTATGCATCAAAACGTATTATAAATCTTTATCAGCCTTTATTATCTTTAAACAAAATGCACTCACTGATGAACTGCCTATGCTAATAGTAGCGATGCAGGTAATTTTAGGTTCTGCTGTGCTCCTGTAATTGTGAATAAAATATTAACAGCAACGTCCTATTTGTCAGCTGGCTGAATCGCATTTACAGCATCTTCAACCTCCTTAATATATTAGGCACTCTCCTTCTACTTTCCTGAAGTGTGTGGAACCTCTGTGGAGATTTAACTAGACGACACAACATCAGCACAACAGGCTATGACCAAACTACCCTGTCTCATTAACTCCTACTACTACTTCAGGCAATTAGAAAGGGGGGGGGGGTTATGTGTATCCAAAGAGCTCACCTGCTCCAAATTTGTCTCCTTCAAACTTGAAAGCCTGAATTTGAACATCAAACACATTCACAGAAGCTCTGTCTGAGACCCAGATAGTCTCCTCTGCAACACACTTGAAAGATCTTCCAACGGTAGCTTTTAGTTCACTCAGGCTGTTGTTGGTTACATTATACCTCATTTCTGCACAAAATTAGGGGTGGGGGGAAACTATTAACTCAAACAGGTACAGAATGTTTACAAGCACAAGTTTTAATGTCAGATGACCAAGGGAAAGGGAGGCAGCAAAATCAATCTCCAATCAGTATCAAGCCCCTTCCCAATACTGATTTGACTGTTATAGAACAGCGTTATAAGGCCATGTGGGCTCTAGATACAGCAGGCTGTACTTGAAAGCTCATACACCACCGGCTCCTGGCCCACTAGGAAAGAAGCACAAGTAAGCCTCGCAGCGGACTCTCAAGCAGTAGGCTTTAACAGAGACAGCTTAAGGCAGTTCACGGAGATCTGCATTTCTTTATCATTCAGAGTATTAATTTTACCCTTTGATAACTTAAAAAAATGAAGTTCTTACCTTCAGCTTCAGAAGGAAGAGTGATATTTATGTCGATGCCTTGCAGAAAGTACTTCTCGATACTTGCATTCTTAAAAAGAGAGTTGTTGTTTAGTCACTAGACTTAATTGTTAAGCTAGCTACTTGGTTGTGTTCCTTTTTTAAAAAAACAACAACACCTGCCTGTACTACAAACCTACCATTTCACTATCAAAATATTCTACAGTTCTCAACTTAAGAGGAAACCATACAGGAAGGAAAAACCTCTGAAGAAGAAAAAGGAGGCTGGGAGGTCCATGCACAACCACTGAAAATGCTTTAGGCTTTAAAAATATGTTTTGCAATCTGAAAACTAAAATGATAGCTATTTACAGAAAGCTAGCCTCTTTCCACTTTTGCAAGCAGAAAGCCTAACTCCCACCTGACCATACACTGTATATCCTCATCAGGTTAGGAAAGTTTGTGCATAAACTATGCTAAAAAGTGCCACATAATTATGATAGTGATCTGGTGCCTGCTAGGACAACCACTTCTACATTAACCAGTGTCATCTGATTTAATTGGGAGGTACCAATTATTACCTGACCCAAGAGCGCATTCTGTTGTAGTTTCGTGATATGGAGACTTAATAGAACAAAGCTTCATTACCAGTGCGAGATTTTTCCAGTTATGCAGATCTGTTAGTTCTACCCAGCAGAATTGGGTAGTAGCTACTTAGCCACCAGGGTAAAACATACAATGCTTTCCCTCCCCATGTTCCCCTTGCCTCAAAGTGATAAGACCCACATTGGGGGGGGGGGCAGTGTGGAGGGTCTATCCCTGTCCAGTCTGAAGCAGGCGTTTTGGCTTCTTTTAGAAACAACTGAAAACACACAAATGTTGGTGACATTTTAAATCCGAGCAAGAGCCCAGAAGAATTTCTAGGGACCAGCAACTAGGATTCTGTGCCTTGCAGGATCCCTTGCCTCTTTATGTGACTACAAGAAACAGCTATGTACGCAAATATGCTGAAATGTAGGCAAATCAAGGAATCCAAGCTTTTCATAGCATTTTAAAGCTATCACGGCTTCCCTTCTGTAAAGCCCAATTTCACTGCAAGAGCTAAAACTGCTTTTGGATCTGACCTAAGCATTCACAAAGGCCTTGTGCTAATTATGCTTACCTGCACAAAATGGAAAACCAGCTTGTCACTCCCAAGAAACAAGTTCAGTGTAACCGAGGTATTCTCACAGATCCCGGCGTAAGTAGTATTTAATGGAACATTCAACAACACATCCGATTTAGTCTTCAAAACAGAAAAAACAAGTCACTATACATGGAGACAGAACATTTAGATTTCCTTCCTGTTGGAGGTCTGAAGTGGTGGCACGCTTAAATGGGGGAGGACTGGATAAATGGGGAATACTCTGACATGAGAACGAACTCTAAGTCGGAATCAGTCATTGTACTGGCTATGGAAACCAAAGTTAGCAAAGCAACAAGCCTTTGGGAGCACAGTTCATTACGACTAGAGGGATGAACTGGAAGAGATTTGCTCTTTTACAATTCAGCCATATTTAGGACCAACAGCAATATGGCAGACAGCCTCTTTTTTCAGCCCCGGGGGTAGAACTGTCACCCCCACCCGAAAATATATTTTTCATGTAACACACTTATCAGGGGGGAGACAGGAGAACTTTGGTTCTTTTTTTGAAAAAAAATGCTAGCCTGCTCTGAGGTACATTCGTTCTACAAAGGACTGGGGATATTAAGTAAAGCGTACCTTACTTTTTGTACCATAAGTAACATTCAGTTGCAGACCCATTGAAGCAAGCAGACAGGTACCATGTGGACCAGTCACATTATATTGTCCCTTATCTGGGTTTTTAGAGGGTGTGGGTGGCGCATGACTAGTAGTTGTAGTTACATGGCTGGTTGTAGGGGTGGCAGGAGTTATGGGTGTTTGATCTTCCTTACAGAAGGTATCTGAAAGAAAGGAAAGCAGCAGTCAAGGAATCAGAGGAACTGGAAGGCCTCCTAAACCCAAGCTCACTCAAATACTAGGATTATGAATTAACAAGAACACCTCGGCTCCATTCCGGTAAGTGGGGAAACAGAACTGATCTACACCTATTGGTGTGCAAATAAATGTATGTATCTCACCATTTCATAGAGTCCTTTATTCGGGGTGGGGGGGGGGACATTCTACTTCACACAGTTTTGTGCTCTTACCCTTTCTATTTTGAAAGCAAAAATGTTTCAGAGTACGCTTTGATGGCTATCTTGCCAAACCGGGGATACATTCCTCTGCTAGTATCAGGGGAGAAGGGCTTCTTTTTTGCAACAGCGCCATTTCACTGACTGCACCCCGCCACATTTCAGCAACCTCTTGTTCAACTAAGGCATTATCTCCATGATTATCTTTTTCTCTCTCTTGCAGCTGCTTGAGTGAAAGATGTATGTGCTTGGAAGACTGAGGTCTTATTAGCTGCAGAAATAGAAAAGTCTATAGTTTTCTGTTCTTTTGGGCTTCCCCAGCTGGGCTTCAGCTACCTGGTCTAACTTCAGATACAACTATCTGTTCCAACAGTGACTGCTCCTTAATCCTCTTTAGGTTTACAGGACTGTAAATGAAATCTAGCACTTTACCAACACTCTCTTGAGTTTTCTATCTAGTTAAACCTCAAAATTGCCTAGGGGCATTTTTTAAACTCAAGCCTGAGTCTGCAACAGGTATGAAACCCTTAGATGTAGTTCATGCCATCCCAAACATTCTGCTTGCCGGAAATGCTCTCTGAAGGTAAGACTTACAATTATGACTGAAGTTGTTACTTGCAAGGTACGCTTCAATTGTAACATTCTGGAAAAGAACAGTCACGTTTGTCATCGTTATCCTGTGGCTGTGTACGCATGTGTACGTCGTATTCAAGACTGCATGCATATTGGGATCTGAAGTTGCTTCTTGCATTCCTAGAGCAGAAAGTTTACTGTTGTTGTGAGGGGGTAGGGAGATTTCACAGAATCTTACACAAGCTGACTGCACACCATTATCTCAGCCTCATACGAAAGTTCAAATACTACTCACCTTTTTCTGTTGAATCAGGGAAAATAGCATCTGACATGTTGTATCTCAGTGTCAGATTTCTGACACTGTAGGAAACTGCATTCTTGTCAAAGTCCAAGGTTAATGAATGTCCGTTGCCAAATCCAAGTGCAAGTACTGGAATTTTCTCTTTCTCTTTGACACCGCAGCTGCTGCTGTTCAGTACTGTAGCATTATGTGGAAGTACAATGGTGGCATTCTAAAAGAGGTATTGAGACAGTTACGGTAGGCATTAGAATGGTTCTGAATACGAAACAGCACATACAGCTGTGCTCTGTTCCCTTCCTCCCCACCTCCGATTACTTTGTAGTCCGGCACTGGCATGTGTGGGTTTATTATTTATTTAATTAATTTATACCCCCGCCCTCCCAACCATGGCCGGCTCAGGGTAGCTTACAACAGAATAAAAACAGCAATAAATAGTACAATGATCATAAAACCATATAACAATTACAACATTAAAAGGTGCTAACAGATAATAACCCAGATACCATTAAACAGATAACAGTTTAGCATTACATTTGGGACGATGCTCAAACTTCAGTCCCTTCCTAGTGGTTGATCCTGATCTAATATTGTGCGGCTGGCTCAGGCTGCTTTGAAGATTAAACGGGGCAGGGTGCTTCCCCTGGGGCGGCTCCTAGTTGAACGCCTAGTGGAACAGCTCCATCTTGCAGGCCCTGCAGAACTGCATAAAATCCTGCAGGGCCCTGATCTCCTCCAGGAGCTCGTTCCACCAGAGAGGAGCCACCACCAAGAAAGCCCTAGCTAGCTATGGCTGTAGCTAGCCTGGTGTCCTTTGATCCGGGAAGGGAGAGTCAATGTTGAGACCCTGATCGCAGTGCTCTCTGGGGAACATGTGGGGAAAGGCAGTCCCTCAAGTATGCAGGTCCCTGGCCATAAAGGGCTTTAAAGGTCTTACACCTTAAAGTGAATTTGGTATGCTATCGGTAGCCAGTACAATGCCTTCAGCACAGGCTGAATGTGCTCCCGTATTTGGAGGCCCAACAGCCTGGCTGCAGCATTTTGCACCAGCTGTAGCTTCCGAATTTGCGATAAGGGCAGCCCCATGTAGAGAGCATTACAGTGTTGTCTTCTTTGGCCTTAAAAATGCCCTCACTAGGCATTTTTAGTGAACGTTACATATGGTTCTCCTTGCCAAAGCATTTTCAGAGCATCAGGTCTAGAAGATAAGATAATTTAGCTAGAGCACAATTCCTTTTTAATTATCAAGTTTGGATTTCCTTGCACTCTGCACAAGCCTTCAAGCGGTTGCTCAGAACCACCAAGGGTTTTGACTGGAACCCAGCACACATTTCTTCTCATTCCTCAAAGGAGCTTAAGATGCCATAATGATCACCCTAAGTTATCAAGTTTTGCTCAGAGGTAGCCACACCAGCCTACTGGGTTGGCAAAGGTTTTCTACTAGCTCTACCCAGCAGCTGCACTGGTCAATATGATGGCGCAGGGATGCCACCATTCTACTCATACCATACCCTCCTACATTACTTGTCAGTGCTACCTCATCTACTCACTTGAAGCTGCTCCCACTACAACTGCATGGTCCCCTGCGCTTCTGACAGGACCCGCGATGGTCAGTATCACCAGCGGAATATGCCTCAAGCTACAGTATTTCAGAAGCGACCTGGTTGGCAAACATGGTATCTGATCATATCCAAGAGCCTCTTAATCCTGACCTAAGGAAAACCTAAAAACTGTCTTCCTGCACTTGTTGCGGCTTTGAGGGAATAATCTGCAATTGTGGCACAGCTGAACACGGGTGTGAGGAAAGAACAAGGATCCTTCCTTCCCATTACTTCAGATAAAGATTCCTTGCTAGCTTTTTGATCCGAAGGTAAGAGTGAGTCATTCATTTAATTTGCAGCCAAAACTACTGGGAACCTGCTTGTGTTTGTCACAGCACATCTGTCAGTCTTAATACCTTTAATGAGAACAGTTGCCCTAAAACGTATTAGGCAGCTGAGCTCAACAAGGTAGGCCAAAAAGGTTGAGTCATTAAAGGTAAGCAAGTCTCTGTGTAGCTGGTGCCGGGAAGTCCCAAGTAGGCCACTCTTAACTTGGAAAGCAACAGCATTATACAAGTGTTATAACCAGCCATTTCTTTAGTTAAGCTAATCAAAGCCTTTGTTTGTCGCAGTTACTTTTAAAAGTAGGGCTATGTGCCAACTGGGAAAACCCAAGGTTAAGAGCTAGAGAAATAGTTGTGCTGCTTCCTCGTTAAACAAGTTATTCTAGAATATGCCACAAATGGCAAGCCAGAGTAGATATGGCGGTGGCAGACTGATACATCACAATCAGGTTGCTACCAAGTGTGTCATGCGTGTAGGGTGAGTGTGATTGCTAACAAGTCGCTACAAGAAAGGCAAGGACTAAAACATAAGAAAAGCCAATGTTGGATCACTCTGTCACACAGTGGCCAAAAATACCAGGTGCCATCAGGAGGTCCAGCAGTGGGGCCAGGACACTAGAAGCCCTCCCACTGTTGCCCCCCCCAAGCACCAAAAGCACAGCATGGCGAGTGCTGAACCCTTCTTCCCCACTACCATATGTGGGGAAGATTATGTGATTATAGCAAGTATTAACACTTGCCAGGAAAACCAGTTTCAAGCAGCTTACAGGGGAAGTTAAGCTTCCCCTGAATGTTAAATCTGCCCCACATATATATATATATCACGACACAACCTGGGTTGTGTTGAATTCAAAGCACATCATACTGACTCTCAGACTCTGTTCCTCAACCAGACAGGTGCGCTTTACACCAGGGAGCAGTTACTTAGTGATCATGATTGTCAGACATAAAAAGCTGCAACGGTGGAGTTAGCAGCACTGTGGGATGATGCCCTGGCAGCTGTTGAGCTTTTGCCTTCCCTTAAAACTGTAAAACATCTTTTGCAAGCAGAAAAGGATACCTGATGCCTCATTAAGCAGGGCTGGAACAGTTTAGCTCACTGTTTATTTTATGGCCCTATGACTTACCCCAAGCCTTAGGCAAGGGAGCAGATTTATAACTAAATACAGCATAGCCAACGACTGGTTTTGCAATAGTCTGTATCAGACTGAACATCGTTAAACCCACAGTGATGGAATAAAGAACATCTAGCTGCAAACAGACAGAGGCATCAACTGCATTGCTTCAGCTCAGCAGACTACCCAAAGTGCTCTAGTCACACCAAGCTTTGGACAATCCATACATTTTATGCTAGAGGTAACACATCTAAATTTTGTGCAAGATTCACCCCACACAGCCACTCTTAAGCATATGCATTAGAGCTAGTTCTGGCTGTTGCAATGTTGCAGTAGGCAAATGCAAACCCAATGCTGTCGCTGCAACCCCAAACATGAGTAAAATAGCTTCCCGTCCAACAACAGTGAGTTGGACCTGGAATACTGTAAGTGGAGAAGGGATCTGTCACCTCTTTCTACAGCTTGTGCCCCCCCCCCCCACAAGCACTGGAATGACAGGAGGTGGCCACAGTGGGAAGAAGGAACTGGCAGAAAACATTCTTCACAATCTTGCACAAATGATCCTGGTAGTGGGGGACTGCTAATATTCCCCCCTTGTGCTTAAGTCCTCTGTATTGCACACCATATGCCCCCCCCTCCAGTAGTGGTTGGGGTGGGGGGGGATACAGACGGCTGCCGAATGACAAGTGGCCAATCTCTGCTCATGCTACTCTGGATCCAACCCAACATCATGCTGGTTTCAGCTACAGAAGGACAAGGAAACCTTGCTAAAGTTAACTTAGCAGTTACTAGTCTTGGCAGGCAGGTAGCGGTGTTCACTTAAACGCCAATAGCTTCTCTCACCTGTTTTTGACTCTTTGTGTCATATTCAACTGTGAATTCTACAGAGAAATAAGCTAATATGCAGACTTTACCACCTTCTTTAACTTCAAATGTTGAAGATGCTTGTAAAAAACCTGCGAACAGAGAACAAGCAGTACATCAAGTAAAACTGGATAAAATATAGAACATAGAAGACATCTGTGGGAGCTGCAATACTCAGTAACCACTCATGCTTTTAACATATTATATTGCATAGATAGATCAAGGCCTGGTTATAAAGAGAGCCAGTTTGGTGCAGTGGTTAAGTGCGCGGACTCTAATCTGGGAGACCCGGGTTTGATTCACCACTCCCCCACTTGCACCTGCTGATGTGACCTTGGGTCAGTCGCAAGCTCTGGCACAGCTGTCCTTGAAAAAGAGCAGTTTGTGTCAGAGTTCTCTCAGCCCCACCCACCTCACAGGGTGTCTGTTGTGGGGAGGGGAAGGGAAAGGAGTTTGTAAGCCGCTCTGAGACTCCAAGTGAAGGGCAGGGTATAAATCCAATCTCTTCTTCTTCTAAACTTGCAGTATTTGAGTGAGTGCCACGTTAATTTATTCTTCTGTTTGTACAAGAATGATGCCCCAAAAGATTCCTCATAGGCAACCATGAGGATCAGATAAGACTGCCCAGGTGGCACAGATCAACTAGAAGTCTAGTCTTTTTGCACACTAAATGTTTCCTTCAGTACCTCCCTTATTCATACTTGGACCTCTGGATGGCATGATAACAGAGTATCAGGATATCCTGTTATAAAACTTCCAAACATGCTTGCTTGCAGTCATCACATGAACACATAATCACACTGAAACCATTACACTGCAGAAATCCTTTTGGGAGAAAAGGCAGAATAAGCAACAGAGAATCTACCAATACATCTGTTCAATATTTTTGTACCAATACTCTGACACACAAGACCACCTTTTAGCAGTTGAGCTCAGGGACTACGATGGATGCTTAGAGGTTACCTAAATATGTCTCATTCCCTGAGAGTTACAACATGCATAAAGCAGATGCAGTCAAAGGAGTACAAGACTGTTTCAACAAACTTCAGCTCCTGACATAAGACAGCATTTGTGAAAGTAAGTAGAGAGAGTTGAGTTCATCTCAAATATCCGATTTTTTAATTTAAAAGTTTCTAGTTACACTATGCGCTGCTGCAAAAAATTGCTGTCCAGGTTACCACCTACAGGAACTAATCATTTACTAAAGGTTTATCAATGTACTGTCAGGTGTACAAAGGAACATTTATTTTTTCCTGTGTCTGCATTTAAAAATTAGGCTGGGGTTGAATCACCATGAGACAGCTACCACAACCCTTATGGACAGGACCCCTATCCCAAATGCTGCATCTGTCCCTCCTCTGAATCATGTTTCTACACTGCCAGTGTTCTTCCAAACCAGGGTTGGTTTATTTTGGTGGGGGAAGGGGAGTGATGTAAAAATTCTGAAGTCATGGGAAAAACCTGTCTCAGACATTTGTGAAACACTGGAATACATACGACGCTTACATCTTATGTTGCCAAGCAGTAAAGTAAGTTAAGGACTGATAAGAAATACAGAACTTTTTACAATGTTACTTTCATTTTGTAAGCCTTCTCTAGCAGGCACTCTGGAGAGGCGGCACAGACATTTTCTAATTTATAAATAATAAGCAACAACTTAGCACATAAATTGCACTACTTGGGATATTTATTAAAAGTATAGGTTTTTTGCAGCCAGAAATACAAATAATCAATACTAGAGAAAGCATGCTGCTAACTGCTATACCCTAATGCCACTACAGCAAGTTTTTAATTTTTTTCCACCTGAAGTAGGGGAAAAAATAAGTTAAAAATAGTAACAAAAAATATTTGGATGGCAGGGTCTCATAGTCACAGCAGTATTTGGATACCAAGTTAAGTTTTAGAACACTAAAAACAAACATTTCTATTGCATTTCACACATCACACATATCGTATATTAATTCGGACAATATTAGCCACATTTAAACAAACATACCAAAAGTGTTATGTCTGTAAGACGTATACAATACTTTGGATTTTTATGTAAGACGATGAGTGAGCAAAATGTCACCTCTTAAAGCATTTTAAAAGTAGGTTGGGGTTAAACCAGGACTCTCCCCCCACAGCTTCAATTATTTTGTTGAAATGCCCCACCCCCATTCAGGCCATCCCCTCTCAGAAGAGAACAAAAAAAAGTGTGGTAGAGTCCAGTGTTCCCTCTAAGCTGAGTTAGTGTGAGCTAGCTCACAGTTTTTTAGCCTCTGGCTCATACATTTTTGTCTTAGCTGAGGAAAGATGGCTCCAGAGCAAACTGATTTCTGCAGTAGCCAAATCGCTTGCTCACAACTTTAATACTAGTAGCTCACAAAGTAGAATTTTTGCTCACAAGACTCCACAGCTTAGAGGGAACATTGGTAGAGTCTCTGTGGCTAACACACTCCCAGAGAGCTACAACTGTAAATTTAACTGAATGCTATTTGCCAGCCACAAGTTTCCTATCAACTACGGCAAGATTAAGATACCAGCAGGTCTTCAGTCTGGTACTGCCAAGACTCTCTGACTCTGTGCTAAGGCAGTAAGGCAGGAGAACATATCTGTTTTCCCTAGGGGTTCCGTTACATGACAACACACACAGGGTGCGTTCAGACGCGGCATTTACAACGGAATCTGTGCTGGTTGCAATCGTTGTACTTACCGGCGTTCAGACGGCGAACATCTGTCTTCCCTCCCTAACTGTTGTAAAGCCCTTTAAACCGTTGCACTCTGCCACTAGGTCCCCAAGTGGTGGTATCCTGAGTGCAACGGTTGCATTCGCTTAACCCCGCCGTCTGATCGCTCTCCACCGGTGCCTAGCCACTTCCGATCGGAAGCCTGAGGCTTCCGATTTCCCCCCGCCATTTTTTTTAACTAAGCGATATGCGCTTGGGCGAAGCTTCGCCCTGAGCGTTTGTTTAAAAAAAAAAAAGCCCTTAGTGTAGCGTATCGGAGGAGTCCGGGACTTAAGGGAGGTCAGTTTGGTCTTTAAACTTTAAAGGTAAGTCCTTAAAGTTTAAATGTAATATGGGGTGTTTTGAGCATGCACAAAGATCGCCATTCTGTAGATGGCTGCCTATGTGCATGCTCAAACTGAGTTAAAAAAAAAAAAAGCCAACGCCGGCAGTGTGTGAGCGGGCATACAGCGATGGGATCCGCAAAATGGATGTGAGTATGATCGCGTTTCAGCCGGCATAAACTGCACCGGTTCCAACCGGTACAGTTTATGCCGGCTGAAACGCCATGTCTGAACGCACCCACTGAGTCTCTACTGTGAAATAAGAGGTGGTTTATATGTTGTTGGATCTTCTCCCAGACTATCAGGGATTTGCACTTCACATACTCTCACTTCTATTGTAATTCACAAGGTGTGGGACTTGCAGATATTACTGTCCTTTGCTGTACATTTTTTTAGAAGTCAGTTGCTAAAAAACCCCACTAAAACATCTGTTATTGGTTGCCTTAATGCTACTGAACTGGTAGGCCAGTCACACTTGGGTGGCCTGATCTCTTAAAGTGGTCTGTGAATTATTGCTCAAGTAACGTTATTTTGAGACAGAAAGCTGTGATCCCCAATTCAGTACACCTGTTTTGGATTTGTGATAACCAACAATAAAAACAAGCAAGTTAACATCACAAATGAGACTTGTTTTGAAGCACCAGGATTGCTGTGACTCACAAATCCCAGGTTAAAGAAACTGATCAACCCACCACCGTTTTTTGTTGATTGAGGCACTAGCCAGTGGCAGTCATTCAAGACAACTGTAAGAGCACATTGACATAACTTATTATGTAGAGATGGGGACAAAGTCCACTGCAGAGTTTTGCTTACCTTTGTTTTGTACGAACTGCTATGCGAATGACAGTTTTTATTGAAACCAGACAATAACTTTTTAATCTGACCCTTCACCCAAGCATATTCCAACAGGCTTCTCTAACATGGCAGAACACTGATACAGAAATTTGAATTGCCAACCTTTAAGACATAAATCTGAACCTGGAACAAGCTTAATGAGAGCTACAGGCACTAAAGAGCCAAGGTTCATATGCAACAAGCCATGGACTGTCATTACACATGACCAGTGGCAACTTTTTTTGGGGGGGGGGTTTATATGTGCATGTGTGTGCGCGCATCTGTGAGAGTGAGCGCACCTGGAAATCATGGTGACCTCTGGTGACTGACGCTTACTGGGGGCCTTGAGGATATTCAGAGAGGTGGCTGAATAAAGCCTGCCCCCACCTCCCAACTGCTGTTATTTCAAGGAGGCTGTCTTGCCTGCCTTCTGAGATCTGACGAGATCGGGCTTGCCTATCCAGGTCACGACACCAGTGGCTACTTTTGATATAAGAAGATCAGCCATCTGATTTGAAACATGTGTTCACCTTTCTATCCTCCCAAACTTGAGAAACATCTCTTCTTATATATAATTGAGTAGTGGGGGTGGCACTTTCCAGCTCTCCCATTGGCTGTGCAATGTACTACATCAGCCATTGGCCCATCAGCCACCACTCAAGGGTACTCACGTGCCATTGGCCGGGTGTTGGGTCTGCTCCTCTTCACTGCCCACTCCCACCTCAGCCACCATTCCCTGTCAGAATTACTGGCAAACAGCTGTCTCTCCTGACAGATACACTTCTCCTGCTTGGCTCTTCTGTGGAACTAACTTTTCCCTCAGTGGCTGCTGGTAGAAAGAAACCCTTTCCAGGTCTTTGTGAGGAACTCATTAGGACCCATCTGGACTAGAGTTGCTCCAGGTTGGGAAATTTCTGGATATTCTGTGTCTAAGGAAGCCAGTCTATGGAAGCCAGAGTTTGGGGAGGGGAGAGGCCTCAGCTGAACAGAATGCCATAGAGCCCACCGTCCAAAACAGTTATTTTCTCCGGGGGGGGGACCTGTTGTCTGGAGTTCAGTTGTGATACCCAGCGATCTTCAGGCTCCAATTGGACTAGGCGTAGCAGTTAGCCCTGCAGAGCAGGGTCTGCCAGGCAGAGATCAGTTCCCTATGCCATTATACCCTGCTGAGTCCTTCCCCTCCCCAAACGCTGCCCTTCACAGGAT